TTTATTAATTTTTACAAATTAACACTGATTTGCATATTCAGAATTGCAATGAAATGCTTTTGAAATTATTTAAAGGGATTGTTACAAAATTTTAAGTAAATATTTTTAACTATAATCTTCCCATCATGCTATTGTAATCTGAAGGTCTGCGAAAGTAATGTTCTAAAATTATGACAGACTTAGAGTAAATTTTATATCTGTTGTACCTCCATGGCAAATGTCCTGTAGGAGGAACATGTTTAACATCTCCTATGGTATACATTAGATGAGAATATTTAAAAGGAACAAAGCTTGGCATCACACAAATATATTTATCATCACTAACATAAATCCTCATGATATACTGCAAAATTAGATACAGTGTTGAAATATTAAAACCTACAAGCAAGCTTCCAAAAGTTATAAATTCAATATCAATTTGCCAAGCATTGGATGTAAAAAAATTGTAACCACAAGCAAGTACACCAACAACTGTACTGCTACAACAAACACACTGTGTAAAGAGAACATAATTGCTCATGGGACTTCTGTATATTAAATTAAAAGTGTCTGGAATCTTGTCTATTTTTTTGTACTTTTCTTCCCGCGGTGAAGTTGGTACACCAGAAATTCCACGAACATTAGGTGCAACAGGTGAGAAGGGTATTAGAACTTTTCTACAGCTTTGACTGAGGGGGATACGAATGGGAAAATTGGGAGAATATGATAGTGACGAACTAATTCTTCTCGCCCAAGAGAAAATGAAACCTGTAATCGGCAACGATTTATTCATTATTCTGCCGGGTAACAAACTCATTTAGGGGCAAACAACACTTCGCGTTAATAGGTAAAAACGCTTATTACAATCTTTCCCCGCGATGAACCATCACTGAACAAGCGCACAAAAAACAATCTCCTGGCACAAGCAAGTGCAAAGCGGTGTTCAGCTTATATCAGTCCTAAATATTCTTGTCACTGCTCCGAGACGTCTTGGTTACTCGGTGAGCTGTCTGCTTCACTTGAATCAGCACCATATATACAATGACAATTTCAACGAAATCTGTTTGAAATATTTATTAACCATAAGAGTTCATTCCAAGGCCTCAAAAATGCAAAATGCATATCAGGGCCCTATAACTCCCATATAACGTGGTGGGGACCATTACGGTGGCGCGCTCTGCTGCATCACCTTCTTTACACGAACTAAAACAGGAACTGCTGCCAACGATTCTTTAAACGTGCGTGACTGCTACGTGAGTTCGCGGGTCGCAAGCAGGACCATAGTGGTACAAAAGATAACGTCTACGTTCGCGCTTTCTTCAGAGGTTTCTTACAAGTAGTGATTATGGATAATTGTACATTTAGAAGACACTTTTCGTATTTGTCACAAATTAGCCAATTTGTAAGTGGGAAAGTTGGCGAGCCTAACTTGCAGCTGCACCCGGCGACACTAGCGCTTCCTATAGTAGCAACCTCGAGCTTTGTCCCCGATTTTGATGGAGAGTTGCCGGGCCCTGATGCATATACCAGGCACCGAGCGACCCGATGCTTTGCAGCGCAGTTCAGTGTGGCCGCGTAATATACCAGAGAGTAATATACTCTCTGGTGGCCGCAGAGAGTATGGTGTGCAATGCCGCCACACTTCCCTGCTATGTAGCCATTCCTATAGGCACCGCCACTATGCTTCGCAGCCTGTTCGCAGCGCAGTCCAGTGTGGCCGCAGTGTGCCACACTTCCCTGCTATGTACTACATAGTATGTAGCCATTCCTATCCTTTCGGTCATCTATGGCTGATCTGTAAAAGAGAGTAAAAGAACGAGGTCAGGAAAGACAATAGCCGTTCGGCGCGGTTTTGGCGTTGTTTACCGCAATTTTCGTGCAAGTATTGACGTTTCGCCTAATGTAGCATATCTCTCGGGCGCTTGTACGTGGCCGTGGGATCCGGCTCGTACAAAGATACATTTATTATGTCATTATTTGACGCGTTAATTTTTGAAAATAAATTTCTTGCTAAACTTTTAAAGTGCTCTTCGAGGAGCGATAGCTTTAATGTAGAGTGTAATTCTGAAACTCTAATATACATTGGCGCGCACTGTATTCTACTAAGGCACGCATTTTGAACTACTTGCAACTTATTTAAGTGTGCGTGCCCTACAGGGTACAGGCACCGAGCACTCGCACATTGTCAATATATGAAGCCCAGCGAATGGAGTATACTTCGGTTGTTATAACGTGGCGTGTCAGGGCCCATCTTCACCACGGAATATTTCAAGGACTTTCATGGTCGTGCCGCTAGATGTCGCATAATCACGACCACGTAATGCGCATGGTGGAAATTACGTTATAATATACTACATAGCGGCACAAACGAGAACGACGCGTAATGCCCTGAGATATTCTAACGTGACAAGCTTTCATGCGTCACAATATAGAAACCTTAGTATAATTATGCACTTTCGTCACGAGCTGGCAAGAGAGACATAACCAATCGCAAGCTTCCTTACGAAGAAAGGTTGGTTTTCAAGGCTCCCGATTGGATGAATGAAGGCTCGATCTTTAAAGGGCTTTTTATTTTTAATCGAAGTATACTTTCTGGAACCACTGATCATGAATGAAAATTAATCTACGCACAGATGTTCCAGACATGGAGGAATATTTCGAGCATTCGAAGGAGGAATACATGAAGACTGTAAGAAGCTTAAAATACTCTGGTAAGCATGGTAGAAACAATCAACATGCTATACTACGAATAAAATTATATGATTGACAATTTGGAGTGGAGGGGAGCGGCGTTGCCTCATACTGCGCTAGCTAGACTAGCATCAACACTAGCTAGACAAACAGAAGGAAGGAATGTTGAGAAACTCGTAACAAGTTTGTTCCAACATTTGTTCCCTAATTTTAGGTCTCGACGTGCAAATGTCAAAGCTTTTGATTCTCTGGTTTCTACGTTACGGCGTTAGCGTTATCACGTGATATTTGTCAATCACCTTATAATATTGCAGATCCAACTCCGGTGGTGGGGGGTACGAAAAGTGCCCGCAGCTAAAATGTACATTTTACATTCAGCGATATCATTCGGTGAATGGGAGAACATTTTACGGCATTTTACCGCGTTGGTCCATTACAATACCTTGAGCACGTGTATGCGAGTGTACACATTATTATTATTATTATTATTATTATTATTATTATTATTATTATTATTATTATTATTAATGCTACAGCATCCCTGTACAGCACAAAAACCTCCCACTGTAGTGAGTAGCTCACAAAACAACTTAGTAAGTGAGCTAAATCCTGGCGTTAATTAAATTGTTTTCTATTTTTTATCTATTCTGTTATATAGATATACAGACTAGTTCATAAAAAAACCTGTGAATTTTCCTGCAGCACAATTTTCATTGTTAAATAGTAGTTTTCTAGACACATTAACATGATTCACACTCTCTTATCCTCACATGGATACACATTAAACAATTTGTGCACATTAGCTACAGACATCATTCACACCACACCAGTTGTCATCACAGAGAAATACTCCTGGAACAAGAAGAAATTAAGAATTCGTCCATGGTGCTGAAGTTTGGCATAATTTTAAGCGCAACAGGTTTAGTAACATAACAATCACTACTTTTATCTTACTCTCACAGACAGCTGATGATTTTAAACCAACTTAATAGGGTATTCACCATAGTAATAAGCAATTCAGTAATTTGCGACAGACATTACACACATTTTGAATGTTTGCAATTTTGAAAATTCAGAAGTTTCAATAAAACTCAAGATTTGCAATTGTTTTTATAAGCAAATATCAAGCTATTTAAGCAACAAATTTAAAGAAAACATTACAGCCATTTTTAAAAAAATTTTAAAATGTTATTACATCTTAATCTTACTCACACTTACTCTCTCATCTTAAGTACATCTGGAAATTAAAATATTCATTCGCAAGACATGAATCAGAAAATATCATTTCTGGAAAAAATTTCTGTGAATGTTTACATGCTAACGACACAAACGTTTTGCCAACAAATTACACTTTTCAGGATTATATGTGAATGCTGGGTACACTATGTATTTGAGATGAATAACTTTAACTGCCCATATAGAGGTAAGACAAATCTACTTCACGTAACGAGTCATTCTCTTGAAAAATTAGCACTTTTTCCTACATTACATTACTTACACACACTTTCCTTTGCTAGTGCTATTACAGCTAGGTTAAGTGGTACTGCCAGAGAACAAGCAAAATGTGCCTCAATTCTTGCAATCACTCTCACTGAAGTGAGAAAAGCTGATTGAAACTATCACTTGCTTCCTCATAAAGGGGGAAGAGGAACAATCATTGTCACTAAAAATAATTTTGCAAATATGTTTTTAATTAAGGGATTCTCTCAGAATTATCATTAGGGACCTAACTTTTTCCTCAAGAATAATGCTGTCTACATATGTTTTATAAATAACTTTTACGTTATAAATGACAGTGAATCACTCCAAGGCCCTTGTTGAGTAGGAATGAGATACATATCACAGCCAGGCAATTTCATTCATCAGTGGAGGTAAAAAATAGGATAAGATTATTCAATCACATCACTAAATATATATTGATATTACTTTAGAGGAGACTAGGTGTTTGAAACCTAGAAAGAAAGGCAGAATTACAACAAAGACAGATGTGTCTTCCCTTGAAAATAATATACTCACACCAAATTGCATTAAAGCTGAGATATTAATTATCAACAATGTAAATGCTTAGAAAAGTAATACAACGAGACCTCATTAACCCCAATGTGTGGTGGTTTCAGATATTTTCTATCATTTTTTTAACAATTTTTTTGACTGAGCCTAAAACAGGTGAATCTGTTTGCACATCGACCTACAGGCAAAGATGACCACATACGTTTTTAAGAAGATTTTCACTATCCTAAACTACTACAGCATAAGAATACACAAAAAATAAATATTAGTTCAAAATTACAAGTGACATCATTGATTTCATACAATTAACGAAATGATAAAAACTGCTGTATTTTTGGGTAGTAACTTCTTGTAAATAAAATATAGTCAATGGTAAATGTATTTAATCTTCAAGTTCAAGAGAATCACAAATCATTTTACAGCAAATGTGGTTTTAATGTTAATTTACCATCACAGAAATCAACATTTACTTTTGAAAATGAAGGGTCGAATAAATGGAAATTTCAAGCACTAGGGACAACAGCACAAATGATCCATAAGGCAGGGTTCCAGGTTCAATATACATCAAATCATTGTATACATGAAAGGTATTCATACACGTTTATGTGAAACAATATTATTTTAATTTTTTTTATTGTAAGCCCAAAACTATTACAGTTTCCTAAAACCCAATACAGTAAGTTTTCCACACCCAGCCCTATGGACTAAGTATTTTTTGATCAAATCAATACAAGCAACAAGATCTAAACACAGAAAATTTCTAAGACACAGAATGCTAATATGTTTTAGGCTTTTAAGATAAAGTAAGACTACATCTACTTTGGTTATAGACAATACAATTAATATTTTTATGTATTTATTTGTGCAAAAGAATATACAAATTGAGTGGCGTGAGGAAATAGTAACAACTATTTGTGCTATTAGGAACAAAACTATTTCATTCATATATTAATTCTTTGTAACATATTTCTTACGCAAGTAAACAAAGATAATTATTAGTTATTATGCACCAATAAACATGTATGAGTATAGCACAATAAGTTCTCTCTTTTCCCACACCTCCCAATTTCTCCTCTGTTTTCCTGCTTCTCTCTCAATACCTTCAAAAAAATATTTGGTAATTACCTCTTTACCACTTCAGACTTCAACTGCACGTCCAACCTATTTACCTCTCAGTGGCTGTTAGTATAAATCCAATACCTTTCCCTCGAAGTAAATTGCTTTAAACAACTGTCATTTAATACTCATAAAAGGGAATTCATCAAGCAGTAATGAATAAAAATACTGTTTTCACATCAATTAAGTATCATCCTTAACTTCACATACTAAAAAATAAAAAAAAATTAAACATTTTCACATTAAACATTGAAACTTCAGAAGGCAAAAAAAAAACAAGCATACAATATAGTTCAACTAAATAAATTTACTTCTGCACATATAACATCTGATGTATTTAATGGATATAATACCATTACTTTAGAATGTGATGAAAAATGCATAAAAATGTCTTATGTTCTGAACAGATGCACACAACTAAAGCAAAAGATTGCAACCATTCTTAGAATACATGATTACACACGAATGGGTATTATTTTAACAAGAACACTTTAAATACCACTCTGCATATCGTAGCACCTTATACAGTGGAAAAGACTTCCACAGACCTTGTAGTATTTCAACTTTCTGCCATTAATTAAACCTCTCTTCGTAGAAAGGTTTGATAAAAATTCATTTTGCAAGTACGTGAATGATGGTAATTTTTTAACTTCTCAATCCATTTGCAAGCCACCTCTGGAATGCACCTTTCAAAAAATAACTTGTGTAATGAAAAACAAAATATAAACAAATGCAGAGCATTATACTGACCAACATTATAAAACTCAATAATGTTGTTAAGAAAGATTATCAAAGAAGCATGACTTCATATAGTGCTCCTTGCCTTAAAAGTACAAAAAACATTTTCTAAATTATTAATTGAAAAATTTTCTAAAGATAAAGTTTGTGACACATGTGCATCATATTTCTGTCCATGTAAAAGAGAATGAAATTAATATTTGTTTTCGTACACATATGATATATGATTATTTTCAGAAAACTTTTAATTATAAATCATCTGTTTTTATTAAAAATATATGTCCTTCACCTACACTTGGGAGAATTTCAGGCCTATCACTTAAATTTACAATTACCATGAGGTTTTTATATTTCTACTTTTTTTCTTTTTCTTTCAATAATTATTACTCTGAAAGTAAACTACTTTCAAGTATCTTTAAAGAAAAAATCACACCCCTTAAAAACCAGCACCATTGTATACAAATGCTATCATCACACACTGAATTTGCTTATTTTCTCATTAGCCATTTTATAGAGAAGAGCACTGTTAATTCTATAATTAATTAGAATTACTACAAAGAAGGATTGTGTTTCAGTAATGTAAATCTTCATAGATAAAATGTATGAAGTTAAAAATTAAATATTTATGTTAATTTTAAAATTCTTAAAAAATAAAAGAACAATTCAATAATGAAATCCTGCAAATAAAAACTAAATTTTATAAAGCTACATGATTGTAGGCCTTGGCATGGCACTTCAGATAGAATCAACAATTACAGAAAACCATTTATAAACATACTCATGAGATTTACAATTTAAATAACATTCTGATAATAGGTAACTAATTTTGTAGCATTTAATAATTGCTGGAAGAGGTCTGACTTGAAAACCTTCAAGTAGTAAGGGAGTTGATTTTCTGTAATATTGATTGTTATTCAAAAAGTGCCACTTCAGTCCATACTCCCATTTTGCTTTGATGAGCAAAAAAGTAAAACGGTAATGTAAAATCTTCATACCAATGCACATAATCAAAATAACTATTATTCGATATATTATTGTCCAATTTTCCATACAAAATGAGTAAGAGTTGATACATTTACATCAAAACCATACACACACTAAAAGCTTATGTGCTGAATATCATACCTTTGACATAATACTTTTGTACAAACAATTTAAACATAAAACAGATTATTAGAACAGAAAATAAATATAATATTTCTTCCACTTTAACACAATCTTGCTGCATGACTTCAATTCATTAAAACATTTTCATTACTGTACAACAAGTTTCCATTTCAAGACTTCAATACTTTTTCTCTCTCTCTCTCTGCCTGTTCTCCAGCCTCCAATTAGAGCAATAAAATTTAATAGTTTAAGATGAAGTCTCTTCAACTAGACATTAGACAAGGTGAACATCAACGAAGTTTTAGGTCATGGGGGAAATGAAATGAGATTCCTAAATATCTAGTTACCCACCCACTATTGACATTTGTAATACATTCCAGGTTGTAACAGAATATAAATAGAAAAGAATAATTACCTGCATGTTTAAAATAATCCATTCCACAAGTTCAATGATTCAAAATATCCTTCCTTGGCTTGCAAAATGTAATGAAAGAAGTATACAATGAAACAACATTCCTTCCTCTCTCTCGACAAACATAAAATACATTATATCATTCTATTAACTTAATTTTTTTTACTGAACATTCCCTGTATCAAGCAACAGATCATAGAATTCTCATCAGTAGAATCAACCAGCAACAGGATCTCTCAATATAATAAACTAATACGGAAATAGAATGCACTTAGTAACTTATGTTCAATTAAAACTTAAATGGCAAACTGACCATCCAATTTTATTTTGACTATTATCTACAACATGGTACACAGCAGTCGTACCTTTAACTTTCTTTCTCTCCAGCTAATATCCCATTCTAACATTTACGACCAACGTCACATGACTAACGCTTACGTCGGCAAACACGTTTGTGCTCTTTTTGCCAGTGCAGCTGCTGACACTCAATGCTACAATATGCTGTGTTCCAACAGCAATGATAAATGGCTTCACATTCGCAATTATAGCACTGAAAAAAAGAAGAAAGAGATCAAGATTAGTTGCTGCAGGAGTGTTGGCAAACAAAAATTAAACGTTTTGGCAAGCTTTGTTTCTACTTATTCAGTGTGTGTCAATGATATTATCTGATAAGTAGGCATTGAGTCTTCAAATGAATATTACATTCATTTGGATAGCTTATGTTTCTTAAATAGGGCTATTACACAATTTAAAAAAAACATTGTTAATTATTTCTCGTTTGCTGAAGTATATATTGTTAACAGAATAAATTAACTAAAAGTAATGAATCGCGTTTCTTGTGAATTGTGTTCCTTATTCATTTCTGTACGTCTCAGGTTTAATATTTTTTAATGAGTTCAATATAATTTTATAAATAATGTCAGTATAAATGTTAAATTGTATTATCAAGAAAAGAAAAGGCTGATAACTTTTTTAGTAGTTGCCATCAATTCAACAACAGGTTACAACAAACAGAACAGTTAATGTGCAGAATTGTAATTTCTGGAAAGAAATCGCAATTTTGCACAATAACTGCACGTCCACATATAAAAAGATAATGTATAATATGTCAAACCCGTAAGTACAAGTCAAAGTGAAATTACGATAGCCATGGTTTAAATATTGTGAAAGCTAAGGAGCATAGCAGGCAAAATAAAATGAAATAATTTATAACTGTAATAAACGTGATATTAGTCGGGCAACCAACCAAATAAATTTTGCCTCTCCCCCCACTCTTATTTTTGACATACTTTACTTTACAATACTTTATAATACATATTTAAACGTTTCATTCACAATCTTCTTGACAAGACCATCAGAATTGTAAAAAAAATCTTAATAGTGATGCAAAATGACTTTCATCTATTTCTATTCATTTTTACCAGATATCTATTTAAACGTTTTTCACACTAAACTAACAAATGATAAATGAGTAATTTGAAAAATCTAATATCAATTGCAGGAATCAAATAGTACCCAGGGCAATTAACAAATCATTATATGAATAGGAACAGAACTTGTTCCACATTGAAATAACACAACTAATATTTACAAAAATTATATTTTGTACGTGCAATTACTCCTTTCTGAGGTAAAATAATGGCAGGTTATATTATTCACAAGAGAAATTATCTTTTGATGCTTATGCTTTTGATAGATTGGTTAGTGATTCCAGGTGTGTTAAATACCAAGATCATTATTCTTGTAAGTGTAGTGCATTATTTTATTTTATTTTATATTTTGCAGGAGGTGGAACTGATCTTTCCCTGCTGCATGGTAAGATCCAGTGGTGATTACATTGGCTTGCACAGTTTTCCCCAACCAGATATTTCCCACAGTGGCGTTATATCAGTCGCCATGTACAGACGTGACAAAATATTAGCCACGTGCATTTCATGCTCATGGACAGCGCTGGCAGGAAGAGACGCCGGGCTGAACAATGGCAAATCTAGGGAGCGGAAGGGAACGGGTGCTGTGTCATGGGTGGCCAATTGTGAACCCCATAACCCACTTGCAGCAAACTTGTGAACCCCGTAGACAGGCTAGCTGTGGAAACGCGTCGGCAGAAACAGCGAGATAACGCAGTTCCGTCAGCCAGCCCAGAAGGTAATATAAATGGACCCCAGACCTAAACTCCTTCTGATTCTTGGGCGCGTCGGTAGGAAGTCGTGTGGGTTGTGCATGCATGGGCGCTGCATTTCAACGCATAGGCTACTGAGGCAGGGAACTGAAGCCGGCGTGCTACGTCGAGATGGAAGGTGTGGCGTACTTGCTTGTATGCTCACGTAGGCTACTGGTGCATCACACCCAATAAGATATCTAATTATCAGGCCAGCGGTGGTGGAGACCAGGAACATACTTCTAGTAACGGGTCAATATTGTTTATTGTAATTATTGTACATAGTATTCAAATGTTGGAACATATTTCAAATAAATACTCAATAAATTACAAATTGTTCATGTCTGTGATTTATTGCCCCGGCAAAGACGCCACACCACCAGTGGGGCACTACCCCAGCGGGGATAAGCTGTAAACTGGTCTCTCAACAAGTGTGGCAGAGTAGTGCGTGTAAGTGTAAGTAAGGGAAGAGGATAGGCCAAAGAAAAGGGAGGAAAGATTGTGCCTGGTCCATGCCCCGTTCACTAGGGTACTGCTCTGGCATTCGCCTTATGTTGATCAGAGAAACCAGCGAAAACTATCAATCAGAGCAGCTGGCATCTAGAATTCTCCTCCAGACAATATATAATTTTGACTTACCCACTGCTTCTTCTTAATTTCTGAAATGTTTTGCTTATGTTTTTCAGCTAATTGTTTCATTTCTTCCACATGATGTTCTTCAGCAGAACGAAGAGCTGCAGTGACAGCCCTTTGCTTTTCTGCCTCAAATTCACGACGCATCTACATGAAACACAAGCAAAGATTAAAAACCCAGGAAAAATAATAATGACAATAATAATTAACATAATATCATAATTACAATCATAAAAATAATAATACTTGGAGAAGTAATAAAATAAATATTGAAGAGGAACCTTTAAAACCATGTTCAAATTCCTGCAAGATGAAAATTTAATGCACATAACAGTTAAAACATTTGTTAATTAAAAAGGAGTTTCGGGAAAATCAGGGTGCTTCTAGAAGTTTCTCCAAGGTCCACAAAAAGAAGAAGAGGGGAAATTCATGGCAAAACATTCATTGAAGCATTTACAGCAAATATTGCATTATTTTTCCACCTAATCATAAGCAGAATAGAGAAATGTCATCAATTCTGCTATGCAATCAACATTTGTATCCTTGAGTTGCCTAAGTCTGCTATCTGAGATATGTAATATTCACATAATTTTTTTTTGACCAATGGCCTGGAGAAATTCAGGTAGACTGAGGGTATTAGTTACAAAATCAGGGACTATTGTTTTTGAAACAATAACAAGCCAAAAAAAAAAAAAAGTTGCATGGTTAAAACCATTTTACAGTAACCATCAGCAACTCTGCAATAATGAAGAAGAAGACGAAGAAGAAGAGGAAGAAGAAGAGGAGGAAGAAGAAGAGGAAGAAGAAGAAGAGGAAGAAGAGGAGGAAGAAGAAGAGGAGGAAGAAGAAGAGGAGGAAGAAGAAGAGGAAGAAGAAGAAGAAAAAAAAAGAAAAAAAGAAAAAAAAGAAAAAAAAAAAGAAAAAAAAGAAAAAGAAAAAAAAGGAAAAACACGAATTTCTTGAGAGGGCAAAGAAAATATGAAAATTGCTGGGGGGCGAAATCCTGTCTGTAGGGTGGACATACAGCTCAACTTCCATCCAACTCAAAATCCTTCAGCAGCAGTTTCAGTGGAAGGAGCATCCACCCGCTTTCTAGGTGCACCTTGTAAACACGGTAATCTAACTCCAAAGAACTCTTTCTTACCTTACGGTAAGGTTTAAACAGTAGTGGTGATACATCTCATGCTTTGTGATATTATTTACAATGGTTGCATTGTATTATAATATTGCAAATTGTAACCTAGTTCTTTGGGCATCTCATTAAAAACACTCTTCATCAAAAATAAAAGAATGGAAAATATGAATTTGCAATTTTCAAGAATTCAGAGATTTCAATGAAAATCAAACTCTCAGCCCTTTATATAAGCACATTTAAATTTACCTGAGCAGATTCAAATAAATGTCACGAAGTACATTTACTTAAGGTATATTTATATAATGAGATTTTGAATAAATAAATAACAATAGAAAATTAGAAGAACTAAAGCAAACATTTCTGCAAGCTAAGACACTGTTTTACTTTTAGAATACCTTTTCCACTGTCTCCTTAGTGGCTTTCTCTATATCCTTTGAGCTAGTTTTTCTCTCATATCCTTTCATCAGGCGAGGATGAGTCTGCACCATGATGGAACGTGTTCGAGGCTCCTGGCATGATGACGACACCATGTCTTCCTGTGATAAACCATCTTTCTGCAAAATATAAATCAGTAGGATTAAATGTCTTGAAAACCATACCTCTTTCAAAAACTAATCTGTGTGGAATATCTGCAATATAGAGGAAATATTTCAGTATTTTATCTACCTTGTTATCTGCTTTAGCTTTGCTTGTTGATGATATCGAGCTTTCTTCATCTTGAGATACTTCACCTTCAGATTCAGCTTTTATCTTTACTTTTGGTTCATCATCATCATCTTCATCTTCATCATCATCTTCCGTTTCTTCTTTCTCTACCTTTATAGGCTTTGGTTTAGTCTCTTCTTCTGGTTCGCTTTCCTAGTAAACAAATGTATAATCAATCTATTACGAGGACCAAAGCAAGTTTTCACAATGAAATTAACATGATGCAAAAGATGAATTCAAATCATCTTTCTTTGTATGAAAACCAAAACCTTACTTTCCTTGAGAAAAGAAATAGAATCTCTATATTCTCCATCAAAAATGTGAACACATTTTTTTAAGGCCAGAAAGATTTACCTGTTTTTAATTTATTTTGCAACTATGGCAGCTTGGGGTTGGTAAATATTACGAAAAGCAATGTTTTTTAAAATTAGCTCATAAAAGGGTTACAGCAATCACAATTGAATCAATATTCACATAACACGAATAGGGAAATAATCTGTATATTTGCATTAAATTCCATATTATTGCCTACCACAGTTCTGAACATATTGAACTCACATTCTATCTCTTCACGTCTATACCAATTAGCAGAGAAAAGAAGAGGCAGAACAATGGAAAATAGAATAGTATATTCATCAGCTATTGTATCTGATTGCAAATGTGAAACTATGCTGAACAGTAATAATAACAATTTCCACAAAAAATTATGAAATAATAACTCCTAGTTCAGATCTTGGTAACCTTTAATTTTGACAGTTTGCAGGCACATAATAAAAAATCACACCATAATTGCATTTTTATTAATTGACATCAAATTCTACCTCACGCAAAATTGGAAATGCAGATCAGACACCACCTTTCTTTCGACTGTGTTCCCAGAAGAAATGCAGGGACAGAGAAGCAACGCCACACTTTTATG